CTATGGGCTTCCTCACTTGCCTCATTTACCTTTCTTCTCCATCATTTCCTTGACACATCTCCAACCTTGACACATCTCCAACTTCCCAACTTATTTTATTCTTTGTCATGTTTTCAAATCACCTGGCACCATAGCACACAGGAATATCAATGCTTCTAGTTGAGTGAGCTTAATATAAACTTCCTGAGCTCCAAGTGCAAGAATTTATGTTGAACCCAGACCAGGACTATGCCATTAGTGTTTTCCTTTAATTGTTCAGTGTCACTACTCTATGGATGAGTTTTCTGCTTAACTCTACTTTTTCCACTTGTATGAATTATCCCATAAATAAAGTTTACAAACACAGTTTACGAGGAACCTAGCCTTATGACAAAGTTCACTATAAGGCAAATGGGCCCAATAACTGAAATTTATGTTCTTAATATTGATAGCCTAGAAGCTTAAAAAATAGCACTAGTCCATATCTTTCTAACAGTAGAAAAATATAGAAGTACACAACAAAAGAAAATCTTAGAATTAATGTGGAACTAGCTGTGAATCTTATCAAAGCTCAAGGTGCTCTGATGTTTTACAGCTATTGTGGTTGCTATTATTTTAGTGTTTGATCTTTTTGTTGTTTTTATTTTGGGGCAACACCTGATGATACTCAGGGATTAGTCCTGCCTTTACACTCAGGAATCACTCCTGGCAGTGCTCAGGGGACCATCTGGAATGCCGGGAATCAAACCTGGGTTGACTGCATATAAGACAAGTGCCTTGACCCACTGTATTATCACTCCAGCCCCAGTATTGATAATTTTATCATGTTTAGTGTATTAACTCTCATAGAATGAAGAACATAGTATGTGTTTAGAATCTCTCCAGTCCACAGCTTGAAAAATGCATTTAGCTGTTTCCTGTGTGTTTGCCATATATTAGTGTTCGGTTAGCTGGTTCTTAAGCTAGAATTGAGAGAAAATGGAATGCCACTTTCTCACGGAGAAAACTGAATGGACAATCTTATAGATTGCTAAAACTCTTCAGAAGTATTACAAAGGAGAATGCCTTAGCTAAGCATAAATATCTTTTTTTTTCTTTTTGGGTCACTTTTTCTTTTTTGCTTTTTGGGTCACACCTGCCGATGCACAGGGGTTACTCCTGGCTTTGCACTCATAAATTACTTCTGGCAGTGCTGGGGGGACTATACAAGATGCTGGGAATCAAACCCTAGGTTGGCCGCGTGCAAGGCAAACACTCTACTTGCCATACTATCACTGTACTATTGCTCCAGCTCCATAAATATCTTCCTGACTGTATCCTACCATATCAAAGCATTATACCCCAATTTTACTAAATTAAGTAACTTTTAGGATTCCAGGACAGGGAAGCTGAACAGGGAAGCTGAATTGACATTTATTCCCCTCAAGCAGTATGAGTGTGTTGAAAACAATAAAAAACAAATGTCAAACACCATTGTTGTCCTAGCTACTTTTACTTTCAGGAATTTTGTAATATGCTAAAAGAAATATGAAAAATGTTATGAATCTCATTCAGATATACATTTTGAGAGTTAATATTTATTGATTGTTCCTCTTTGTAAATCACAGGACAGTATTCAGAGTTTTAGAGTTTATGTGTCTTCAAGAAACGCTTGTAGACCAAACAAATACACACTGAATTTCACTGATATGGCAGGCAAAGGATAAAATGGTAGCTAGTCTAGTCTAACTCACACATCAACTACATGGAACATTTTAAGTCCCAGTAACTTACATATTACATAGTAATAGTTATAATGAAATATTATAGTGATTGAAATGAAAGTAGCTAAAGTTATTTGGGAACTCAAAAAATCAGAAGTTTTAAAACTAGAAAAATAGTTTAGAAAATATTTTGCTCAGTCTTATTTGATTCTGATTTAAACAATTTGGGGGTGTCACATCTTGTAGCATTCAGGGCCTATTTTTGATTTTCTGCTCGAGTAAACCATAGCAGTGCTTGGGGAGACCATGTGTGCTGGGGTGTAGCAAGGCTGCCACGTGCAAGGCAAGCAACCTTACTCCCTGTACTCTCTCTCTGTTCCCTATTTATTTGTTTGGGCTGGTTGTTTGGCTGCCTGGTTGTTGGATGGTGTTCAGAGGCTACTCTCAGCTCAGAGCGGGAAGTAGGGTTAAGGGGTGGAGGAACAGGGCGGAGGAGGCTTTGCTCCCAGAAGTGCTTTGTGCACCATGCAGTGCCAGGAATAGAACCTAAGCCTTTGACATGCAAAGCGTGCATCTCTGGCCTTATCTCCCTGGTCCTGGGGTAATCGTCAAATTCTACAGAGAACCTCTAAGGTTCTGGGAGAAAGTAAACCCACTATCCAAATCCACATCTTCCTTAAGCACCTTCCAGGATTGAAATAAGGGCATCTGGTGTGAACCCCAGCACTGTTTCCCTGCCCTCCCACAAGGGATTGCTCTGCCCTGCCACTTTGGCAGCTCGCCTCAGCAGAGATCTCCCCTTGAACATGTGGTCAAGCTCTCACAGGGCAGTCACAGGCTTCTCTCAGCTGGGAAGAGGCAGTTAAGGGGCGCATGCCGAGCCATTCTCAGATGAGAGATAATTATACTCTCTCCCTTCCTGCTTCTCCTATAATTTGGGCTGTCCTTTCAAATTACATGCACCTACTTCTTTTTATTCCATCTTCTTTTAGTGGGTTTGAAGCAATTGAGGAGTTTAATTTTAAGTATGGCAGCAGGTCTACCAAATGACAACTGGAGATGTCGCTGACCTCCATATGGACATTGCTGTATGCCAGCAGTGGGCTTTGCACTCGGATCTTTTTTTACTTTCTGTTTCTTGTGGTGCCTGGGATGGAACCCAACGCCTCCTACATTCAACGTCAGTGTCCTACCCTTGAGCTCCATCTTTGCTTGCATGTGAACTTCTATTGTATAGGCTAGAGTTGGCCAATCCATTGACAAGCTTCTATGGGACGCTTCTTTGCGTCCCTGGATGCTGTGTGCTCACAAACAGAACACATTTAACTGAACTCACACCAACTTGGACTCCAAACAGTGGGATCTGATTAACTGAGAGAAGCCACAACCACGTTAGTGTCATGAGTTCTTTGACTGTGAGCAACAGAAACGAATTCTCACCAAGATAAACCACAGAGGGGTGAATATGGTCAGAAAGAGGATGGAAAATCTGAAGAACCTGGTTCTGGAAGACACTGCTGAATTAAAACATCTCAGGGTAATGGGTGCAGCAAGATTTTTGAGATACTGAGTTTAGCCTTGTCAGACTCCAAGATGTCTCACCTTTGTGGCAAGTTCAAGATTTGAATCCCAGGGAGAGGGCTTGCTTAGCAGGCCTTGAACTGCATGACCTCTCCCACCTTGAGAAGGAAGGAGGCGGATGGCCCAAAGGAAAATACAGTTCTTAGAAAAGCAGGGGTGTGGGGGAAGAGAGAGTAGGAAGGCAAATCAGTAGGTGTTTATGTCACAAAAATGTGGAGAGGCAGAGACTAAAAGAAACACCAGCATCAATCAAGACATTAAATAGCACATTGACCTGATCAGCAAAAATTATATTCAAACCTGGAGCCTGGTTTCAAGTCTCAATTTTATAATCATGCCATTTAGTAGCAATTTGTCTAAGATGCTTTACCCAGACCCAAAGGCATATGAATAATGTGAATAATTAAGCATCTCTTTGCAGTCCTCTCCCCCCGCCCCCCCATCAGCTCTGGCCATTCCTCCTCTTTTATTTGAACCAAAATCAGATCCCCAGGCTGTTTTTTAGCATCTTCTTTGTTGAGATAACAAGATCAGTCACATTCCTTGGGGGTCCTTGGCTGACTTTTAGCATTTAACAAATAGTGATATAAGTTCTTAAAAATCTAAAGTCAAACAAGAGAAAGAGTGATTGGAAGCTGCGTGGGAGTGCACTGAGGTCTGACAGGCTGCAGCCCTGCCCCTCCAGCCAGACCCTCCACACCGCAGCTTCCTCGAGACATTGAAGCTGAAAGGTGGGGTTTCTCTTAAAGGCACAGTCCAAGCCAACATTTAGAAAAACCCAGGTCTGTGCCTCTGCTCTGAGTTAGCAGGCTTTATTCCCGGTAAAATCCCACTTTCAGTCATTAAAACAGTCACGGTAGGAAACAAATTTGTAACCCATTTCTCATATTACCTACCCCCAGAAAAACAAAATTCGATACCCTGGGGATTATGGACGGAGGGCACTTCCCATAACTGCTAGGGAGTGTGCGCTGGGAAATTGGTTGCCTCCTGATGGACAAACCTTAGTCACAATAATCTTGCCTCCGCCCCTTCCCCCACGCTCGCCCCCAGCGCCCACCCCACCTCCCGACTTCCCGCCTCTCCAGGACGGGTGACCTAATAGCATTTTTCTTCGTGCATATTTTGGCTTCGCCCCATGGCCTGGCTGCCTTCGCCTGTCTGAGTCTTTTGAAATTCCTGCATGTTCGCCCCAGATTAAGCCGTGTGTGTGTCTCAGGATGTGAGTTCCGTTCTGTTCTTTCCCCTTAACGCTCCCCGTGCAACGTGTCTGGGGGTAATGGGGGAGGGAGGAGGAGAGGCCGGCGAGGGGAGGGAGGGGCAGAGGCGAGGAGCTGTCCTCCCCGCACGTTTCCAATCGCATTACGTGAACAAATAGCCGAGGGGCCGGCCGAGCCAGAACGGCTTGTGTAACTTTGCAAACGTGCCAGAAAGTTTAAAATCTCTCCTCCTTCCCTCACTCCAGACACTGCCGGCTCGCCCGTACCGCCGCGCCGCTCCCTGTGGCTTTTCCACAAGGACCGCGAGAGGGGAGCTAAGAGCTGGAACGGGTGCCACGTTCCAGCAGCCGCCCTTCCCGGGGAGGGTCCGCAGCCCCCCACCTCCGTGCTGCCCGGTGTGGGCTCTGAGACCCGCGCCCCGTCCGATTTTTGCCCCCTCCCTCCCACGACTCAAGCCCGGTTTTGCATCTTGTCTGGCAAGTCCTCGCGGGCCGGGGACAGCGGGGCCGAGGGAACGATGCGCTTCGCCTGGACCGCGCTCCTGCTGGGGCCGCTGCAGCTGTGCGCGCTGGTGCGCAGCGCCCCGCCCGCCGCCGGCCAGCCACAGCCCGCGCGCGAGGCGCCCGCCGCTCCGGGCCCCTGGCGCCAGCGGATCCAATGGGAGAACAACGGACAGGTGTTCAGCTTGCTGAGCCTGGGCTCCCAGTACCAGCCACAGCGCCGCCGGGAGCCGGGCACCGCCGCGGCCACGCAGTCGCGCACCCCGATCCTGCTGCTCCGCGACAACCGCACCGCGGCGGCGGCACGGGCGCGAGCGGCCGGAGCCTCGGGAGCCGCGGCCGGCCGGCCCCGGCCCTCCGCGCGTCACTGGTTCCAGGCCGGCTACTCGGCCAGCGGGGCCCGCGACGCCGGCGACTCGCGCGCTGGGAACCGCACGACGCCCGGGGAGCGCCCGGCGCTCAGTAACCTGCGGCCGCCCAGCCGCGTGGACGGCATGGTTGGCGACGATCCGTACAATCCTTACAAGTACTCGGACGACAACCCCTACTACAACTACTACGACACGTACGAAAGACCCCGGCCCGGGAGCAGGAACCGGCCGGGATACGGCACCGGCTACTTCCAGTACGGTAAGCAGCCGCGAGACGCTTCCCCGAACGCTGTGGGGTTCCCCGACGTGGCCGCCTGGGCGCGGCAGGCTCTAACCCCCGCAGCTCCGATCCCCCGCCCCCGTGCCTGCAGAGGCAGCTGCGGAATCTGGTGCAAACCGCGTGCGCTCCGGGCCCGGCCCCTCCAGTTCATTTCCCGCTTTGCTCTGCAGCTCCAGGCTCACCCCGCTCCTTAGGCTAACCAGCAGCCCTACACCGACAAGGCAGTCGTGTTGGGGGTCGGGTGGAGGGGTTGGGGGGTTGGGGTGGGAGGAGGACAAGGCCAAAGGGTTAAGAACTAAGAGGGACAGGAGTGGGGGAGACTCTGGGGTGTCTCTTGCTAAGTCCATCACCACCTGCTGCTGTGTAGGTCTTCCGGACCTGGTACCCGACCCCTACTACATCCAGGCGTCCACGTACGTGCAAAGGATGTCCATGTACAACCTGAGATGCGCGGCGGAGGAGAACTGTTTGGCCAGGTACAGAGGGAGGAGCTGGGATACGCGCGGCCAGCCTCCCCAGCCTGGACTCCCAGGCTGCTACTCAGGTGCCGGGTTCCGGGCAAACAGGAGTCGGCGTGATGTTCCTGGCATGCCGATCTGGATGGAGAAAGACATAGTTGAAGATTTCTGTGGGTTATGTCTTTCAAACTACAACACAAACCAGGGAGCCAGATCAAACTCTTATTCTGGAGAGCTTTGGGGGCTGTGGGAAGAGAATTGTTCTCGGCGCTGGCCTCACACGCGGCAGACCAGAGTTAGATCTCTAGCACCCCGGGTGATGGTCCCCTGAGCATGATCAGGAATGATCACAGAGTGCAGAGCCAGAAAAATAAGCCCCGAGTACCGCCCAGGTGTGTCCCCCAAACAGAACAAAAAGTCTTAAGTTTTGGAGCCCACCGTTTCCAATAATTTTGTTAGAGATCTCTACAATAGTGGTAGGGAGTAGAGGGAGAAACCCTTAGTAATTGCCCCTTAAAAGACTGGCGGATAATTTGGCAGTGTTGCAGAACAAACTGGCAAAGGTTAAGTGTTCTTTTGTTTGAAGCTAGAGTGAACTTAAGTTGTTTTCTGTTACTTCAGCCAGAATAAGAGCTTTGTTTTTCCATCAGTCCTAAAATAAAAGCAGCAATTTGGGGACTGGAGCTCTTAGTTGGGAAACCAGCAGAGGGAGCCTAAGACATTTTGTCCATCTCAGAAGATTTCAAAGTGTGAAATAAGGTCAGCATAAGGTTTTTAACTGTATGTCCACACACAAAATATTAGAAAGAACATAGTGTTTATTTGTGTATTTCTTCTGTGTTGACCCTTTACAACAGTCAAGATGCAGAGACTCCAAGGTAATAATTTTCATTCTTGAATCACCGACATACCCTTGTCACCCTTGAACCCATGATAGTATTAATGTCTGTTTTGAAGATGCAGTTAGGTATCTAATCTGAGGGACTCTTATTTCCCCCACTTTATACTATAGCTATTAAAGAAGGAATGTATTGGTTCATTCAACATTCTTAAGTATATGTGGATGATTTTTTTTAAAAAATGGGTAATTTACACCAGAGATTTACTAATTCATATGGCTAAATTTGATTTTAAACAGCTGACCTTTTCCTTTTAAATGTGTTTTTTTAACTTTTAAACTGTATATTTTGAAATCCTCACTCACTCCCAATTGTTATTCACTCCTGAGTTCTGAAGACTCAGAACTGCGCTGGGAACTGGCGATCCAGCAATGTAAAAAGAAAATATATAACTAAGAAAACTGGTGATCCAGTTGGGGGGAAATGGGTGATCATCAGTTGTATTGTGGAAAGCTTTTTCCTAGAGTTTCATTTTTCTGTAAAAATAATGTTTCCTTCTTTTCAAACCAAATCACAGCTCAGCCTACCGGGCAGATGTCAGAGATTATGATCACAGGGTGCTACTAAGATTTCCCCAAAGAGTGAAAAACCAAGGGACATCAGATTTCTTACCAAGTAGGCCAAGATATTCCTGGGAATGGCATAGCTGTCACCAGTAAGTAATGGACTTTCTACAAACTTTTCAGTTGTGTTTTAATTTTTCAAGTATTTTTTTGGTCTGACAGGTTATAAATCTCATTTCTGTTGCCTCCCTCACCCTCCCTTCACCCCACCCCACCCACCCCGTGACCAGAAGCAGTTATCAAGTAGCCTTGAATCTTGGTGCCTCTCAAAACAATGCTGGACAACTGGGCCTGATAGTTTACTGCTTGCATAGAGATGCAGTACTCCGCAGGCTGGTGGTACTGGGGGCCTTCAGAGCTACACTTGGTGGTATTTGGGGGTCCATGCGGTACCAGGATTCAAGCTTGGGTCCCAGCACATGCCAGTCATGTGCTCCTGACTGCTGAGCCATCTCTGTAGCTCTGTTAGTCCTATTTCTTACCCGAGAGAGAAAATCCCTGTTGTTTATAGAACAGAATGTTCTGTTATGTTTTCTAATATGATCAAAGGGAATCTATCTTTAATACATCAACTACTAGATCTTTTAAAATGGAAACAGTTTGTAGGATACAGCACTTGGATTCTCTGGAATTTTCCTCCACTAGTAAAGATTACCTAGCATTTAGCATATTTTCAGATCATTTATTAGAGCCAACACATTATTATCAAATTTGTGATTCATTCAAAGAAAGACACAGCTTACATACTTCATGAGCTGGGAAGACCCTGCTCCATCTTTAATTTAAAAGGTCTGAGTCTAAGACAGGGTGGTTATCTGTTCTCTTCTAAAATTAATTATTTTCAAATAATATAGATCTAAAATGTACTTTGGTAACTTACCCAGGTATGTGCTGTCAGAAATTCCTGATGTGTTCCCTTAAACTGCAAGCCCCACCATTTCTAGATCTTTATATGAGATGATAAATTTCTCAGTATCTTAAAACAAAGTTTATGTGAGTTTTAAACAACAGTGTTTAGACACATGCCTTCATTTACCTTTGCATATAATATATACACATATATATGTATACATATACCCCTCTATGTATTTATATATTTGGGGTGAAGTGGGGCTATACCTGGCGGTGCTCAGGGCTTAGATTCTAATAACTTTGTTAGAGAAGTTTTGTGTTCAGGGATTATTCCTAATGACTCCAGGTATCAAATATGGGTTGGTTGCAAGCAAGGTCAGTACCTTATTGCTGCCATATATATCTTTCTGACTCCTCCTTTGCATTTAAATGCACTGTAGCACTGTCCTCCCATTGTTCATCAATTTGCTTAAGCGGGCACCAGTAACATCTCACAACAAATTGTGAGACTTGTTGTTACTGTTTTTGGCATATCAAATACATCACGAGGAGCTTGCCAGGCTTTGTTGTACAGACGAGATACTCTTGGTAGCTTGCCGGACTCTCTGAGACAGGCAGAGGAATCGAACCTGGGTTGGCCGCGTGCAAGGCAAACGCCTTACCCGCTGTGCTATCGCTCCAGCCCTGCATTTAAATAATCATTTTAAATATGTGAAACCTCTCAGAAACCTCCCAAGAGTTGTTCTTAATTGAAATGAAGCACCAGTAGGGGCAGTGTACACAAGTCAATATAGGGCCGGTTTCACTGAAAAATGCACCGATTTGTACCTATTTCTGTTTAATACTAAGGGATAACACTGGGTGTAACAGAAAAGCAAAATAAGAAAAGTATGTCTGCCCTAATGACAATGTATAGAGACTGATGACCCTGGCTAAAGGCTGCAGTATAAATCTGTCTTTGGGAAGATAAATTTGATTTCACTGTAAATGGGAAAGAAGAAGAGGGAGGTGGCAGTAAAGTCACCGTATATCCTAGTTGCGTTCTTTTTGTAACTGATCACTGTCTCTGTGTTTTGGGGGACATCAGACATTACCACAGCATGGATGAATTCAGTCACTATGACCTCCTTGATGCCAGTACCCAGAGAAGAGTGGCTGAAGGCCACAAAGCCAGTTTCTGTCTTGAGGACACATCCTGCGATTATGGCTACCACAGGCGATTTGCCTGCACTGCTCACACTCAGGTGAGTTGGCACCTTGAAATTAGGACCCGCAGGCTTCAGAGTGGAGCCAAAGTGGCCTCCAAGTTCTTTCTCCTTGCTCATCTTTTGTCAACTCTCCCAGGGGCCAGCAAGTCAAGATGAGAAATAACAGGGCGACTATGTGATGATCCAAATTTCTTAGGAAGTATTTCATCATCAAGAAGGTCAATGTGCATACTTGTTACATTTCACAATGAAAAGCAGTTTACTCTCTGACAAAAACAAACAAAAGAGTAGTTTCCAATCGCTGCATTCATTCTGTATTAACTGGCTTAGTAAGGAACTGTAGAAAAGATAATCTCTGTTTTTCTCACCGGCAAAACCATTCCTCCCTCTACCTAGTAAGCTAAAAATAGAAGGTGGTTGAGCTTTGCCAAAACAGTGAAAACATTTCTTAAGGGGCACTTGAAAAAAACTGTTGCATTTCCTCATGCAAGAATAGGTAGACATTCTGACCCCCGACCCCCATTGCATATATATTTTAACCTACAGTATAATTGATGTCAGATGGCCTTTGGATGGATTTTTTTTAAATAGTGCTGAACTAAGCACTCTGTATGTTTTGTAATGGGAAAATGTGTGTCAGTTAAAAGCTGTGCCAGTGTTTCCATAAGAAACCCTAATTTGTAAAAGGACGTTGTAATTTTACTCCAGCCAGATTCTTGGCACAGAGGGTAAATGTACATAACTCAGGCACAGAGGGATCAGCAGCAGGCATCTTGGGAAGCAGATTCCTGGACTGTGAAGCTCCTTGGTGACCTAAATGTTACCATTAGTGCTTTCTCTGAGCTTCCAACATCAGAGCAGTTTGAAGAGGAAAGGATTTGATTCACATGTCCCAGGGCAGCCCTTATTCTTTAAACCAGAGGAACTGCAACTCCCCACATTACCCATATGTATATGCACACTCCCTTTGATTCAATGACACCCAACTACCAGAGCACCCTCCAGCACAGGGGATGGGACTGTCTTCAGTTAGAAAGAGCAGCACCCAGACAAGTCACCTGCTGAAATAACTGAAGGCTGTGCTGTAGATGTTTGATTTGTTCAGTTCATCAAATTCCCTTGTACCTTGGGATGACCCCACTTTGTATTATAAAGTATCCTCTGTTAATCCTACTTTTCTTCCCTTCATGTCCTATTTAACTGTTGTTTGCCATGACTTGCATTCCTCATGATCTGTGCATTTGTTTTTGTTTTTCCGTATACGACTGTCTCTTAAACATGGATTTCACTTAAAGAAGAAGAAATTCTCAGAAAACCCAAACTTGTTAACTCAGATTAGTTGTATATTACTGCCTCAATGTACCCAAACATAAAACTAGATATAGTTTACTTTTATTTCTAGTTTCCTATAACTCTTCAATTCTTAGGCAAGAAATTTACACATTAAATATATACAGACTAGAAACAATGACCTTTATCTCATTAATTTAATGCAAAGAAATTATCGTTTGTGAAAAGAAAATTGCTAATATAAGATCTTGGCTAAGGTTCTGCTTTTAGCTTGTTTTTTAAAGTCTGACTTCAAATAATACACGAACACCTATGACCTTATCATTTCAAAACCTCCCTTTGTTGGTTCAAATAATTGGAGCTTATCCTTAAATTCTGCCATCTGTGCTCACTTGTACTAACTGTACTGGTGTTCAGTCTCAGAGCACCAGTTTCAGCATATTTTAAAGCTTGTTTAGTCTTTGGAGGTAAAGATAGGTGTAGCACCATTTCCAGCTGTCTTAAGTAAGATACCTAAATCATGTGTTGGCTTAGTGTTAGGAGAGCTGTTGGCTAATAAAAGCAAATAGTATTTGTGCCTGACCATTATGTATCAGAATCAGAATTACAAGAATTTGGACCCTCAAATGTGTGATTCACTACTTGGTATTTTGTGGATGAACAATCACAAATAATGTGGACCAACAAAGGAATATGGTACTCACTGCTATGACATGAGATGCTGTTTTGTCCCCCAGACTTTCTAAATCAAACTACACCCAAACCTGCTGTGTTTGAATAGGCTTTAACATTATGCAGTATCATTGATAATCAAGGTGATCTTTAAAATCAAAGCAATTTTGGGTGCCATGAATACCCCTTGTGATGTGACCCAATCCTCCCTTCCCAGCCCCACCAAAACAGACTCCACCCTTATAACTTTGCTTATAACTTTGAATTAGATTAAATCGTAAGAGTAGGATTATAATACAGAGCAAAAAAGGATAAGCACCATAAACTGTCTAAACATATCACTGGCAAGAATGAAAACATATTTAACTGGCATTAGTTACTATACAGGAAGATGATTTCCTAGGAGAGAAATTAGGAAATGGAGGGATGGGTGTAATGACAGAGGGCATTTGGTGAAGGTGATTATTACATTTCTCTTCCCACATTGGTAAGATCTGAATTTTGACGGTTTATTCTGCTGTGTAGGAGTATATGTATCATAGAGGATTTATGACATGTTAAAGAAGCTAGATGTTTTGCTTCTTAAATTAGTTCAGTATTTTTTTGAAACTGGAGTTTCTTTTGAGAAAAGATTATTTTATCTTAATTATTAAGGTCGGCCATGTTGCTGGAGCGATAGCACAGTGGGAGGGCATTTGCCTTGCATGCGGCCAACATGGCCAACCCGAGTTCGATTCTTCCGCCCCTCTCAGAGAGCCTGGCAAGCTACCGAGAGTATCTCGCCCGCATGGCAGAGCCTGGCAAGCTCCCCGTGACGTCTTCGATATGCCAAACACAGTAACAACAAAGTCTCCAATGGAGATGTTACTGGGCCTGCTCGAGCAAATCGATGAACAACGGGAGGACAAATTATTAGGGAGGAGTGGTCAGTGGAACAGTGGTCAGAAGGTTCAGGGGTCCTACTAGCAGCCAGGCCTGTGGTTCAGGAAAGGGCCCATGGATAAGATGGTGCATGGTTCCTGTGGTGTTGGGTTATCAGGACTAGCCTGGAAACACAGGATGCCCCCAGGCCTACACTGAGCAGTGCTCAGGGGCCTCCAGGACTGCATCCAGTGATGCTTGGGGGACCAGGTGGTGCGGGACCTGAGTTAGGTGCATGTTAGGTATGTGCCCTGACCCCTGCACTATCTTCTGGCCCCTTACCTGGAGGTTCTATAAAGCTGAGTAATAATATACTGCTGAAGACACATACAGCTTATTTTAAACTAGATATTTATGTGAAAATCATAAACAATTTATAGGTTCATGGCAATTTCTTCTAAGCACTTAAAATTTCACTTGAGGCGAGAAAGGGACACTCCTTCACTGTTGGTGGGAATGTCCACTGGTTCAGCCCTTCTGGAAAACAGTATGGACGATTCTCAAAAAATTAGAAATTGAGCTCCCATTTGACCCAGCAATACCACTCCTGGGAATATATCCCAGAGAGGCAAAAATGTATAGTCTAAGTGACATCTGCACTTGTTTGTTCATTGCAGCACTCTTTACAATAGCCAGAAACTGGAAGAAACCTGAATGCCCAAGAACAGATGACTGGTTAAAGAAACTTTGGTACATCTACACAATGGAGTACTATGTAGCTCTTAGAAAAGATGAAGTCATGAAATTTACATACAAGTGGTACAATATGGAAAGTATCATGCTAAGCGAAATGAGTCAGAAAGAGAGGGATAGACATAGAAAGATTGCATTCATCTGGGGGATATAAAGTAACAAAGTATGAGATTAATACCCAAGAATAGCTGAGATCAGCACCAGGAGGATTACTCCATAACTTAGAGGCCAGCCGGGTATCCTAGAGGAAAGGGCAGTTCAGATAGAGAAGGGAGCACCAAATAAAGGATGTTTGGAGGATCCTCCCAGGAGGGGAGATGCATGTTGAAAGTAGACTGTGAACTGAACATGATTGCCACTCAATGCCTCTTTTGCAGACCACAACACCCAAAAGGAGAGAGAGAACACAGGGAATTGCCCTGCCACAGAGACAGGGGGGATGGGGGGATGGGGGTGGGAGGGATATTATCCATGGTGGTGGAAAATGGGCACTGGTGGAGGGATGGGTATCTGATCATTGTATAATTGAAACCAAAGCACAAAAATATTGTAAATCTACAACTGTAAAAAAAAATAAAATAAAATAAATGGAAAAAAATTTCACTTGAATGAAAGAATAATCATTTGCATTATCTTATGCTATCTTAAATTTTTAATTTGTTTTAGGGGTTGAGTCCTGGATGCTATGATACTTACAATGCAGACATAGACTGCCAGTGGATTGATATTACAGATCTTCAACCTGGAAACTACATTCTCAAGGTACAGACTTTTGAAAATATGTACCTCTGATTTATTTCCACTGCAGCTCAAATAGGTCTCTTTCTCTAGAGAAAAATTGTGAAATAATCCTAATCCTGGGAACAGCTGTCTTCTAGAACTGTTTTAAACCAATCTTGAACTTGAAGGGAAAAAAATACAGATTCCTGCCAGTTCCTTAGAGTTGGTGAACTTAAAACCCTTCCTCACTGGACTGAGTGGAAGCATCTTCCCTAGTTGGAGCCTGTGGAAAGGGAGACATTAGTCAGTAAATACTGTTGATGCAATCTAAAACAGAGATGATGTTTATATTGTCTAGGTCAGTGTGAACCCCAGCTATCTGGTGCCTGAATCAGACTATTCCAACAATGTTGTACGCTGTGACATTCGCTACACAGGACATCATGCATATGCCTCCGGCTGCACCATTTCACCGTAAGTCTGACTGCCCAATTCTCTTCACAGAGCATTTTAGCATAGCAACAGACATTCTGCATCACATGTTTATTTCTACTCCTACCAAGCAGCATCCGTGTAAAACAGACCAAGGAAAGCAAATGGTACAGAGCGGTGCTATCAGCAGAGCTTTATTTACTTTTTAAAATTCATTTATTCAGCAACTGCTGCAGGCTCTGTGCTTAGGGGAGAGCTGGGAAGGGTCACTCCAAGTAGTACTCAGGGAACTATGCAGTGCTGGAAAGTGCTGGAATGGAACTGGGCTGCCAGCACACAAAGCAAACTTAACCCCTGTTCTATCATTCCAGCCCCAAGAGCTATTTTTATGTTGATTAATGCTAGAGAAAGTAAAGGGATTGGAGAAATGTTCTCAGGTTTTTATCAGCCTAAAGCTTGATATTCGAGACAGAACACAGACACAGAACACTCTGTTTAATCAAAAAGCCTGTGTTGTGGCTAAGTTTGTATGTAAGATGCTCAATAGGTGAGTCAAAGGACTGGACTCCCCCACAGACCAGGACAGAATCTAGAGAAATTCCTACAATTTCCAAGTACGTTTGGAAGAATCAACCAAGGCCTCCTTTTCTTTAAAGATCAAGATTTCATACATTCTAGAACCACAGGAAGTACATAGATCGTAGGGGTGTGGAAATTACTTCATTATCTTCCTTACATTGAAGCTCTTGTTCTAATGAAATCTTTGGAAGATCCTAGCATGGAAATGTGAACAGGAGTGGGGCTGTGATGAAAGTAAAGTATGTTGGGCAGGTTTGTCGAGCACTCTGAAGCACAGCTGGTCTCGTGTTGCTGGGTTACAGATGCTGATTTCACAGGGCACCCAGGAGTGAGATCTGGAAGTGACATCACTGTTAGAATCATACTAAACATAAATCCTTTTTGCTTAGATGTTGGAGAGGTGCTAGTACTATTGGGTATGCAGAATGGGATAGACAAGTTACATTAGAAACATCCTTTCAGAAGAAATTTCTCCCCGATTCACAAACCAAAACTGAGGTTAGATGCACAAGAATCTGTAGTTTGGGGCTCTTCCAGGTTCCATCAGATCTACTGAGCAGGGAGTGCTCAGACTCAGGGCTTGCTGACCTGGGTTGTGTGAAAGAGATTGGAGTGCACTTAAAATAGTCCACACTCCATTCACAGAGCCATGTGTGCAATTCTGGCTGTGTTCACCATAGAGGGGCACCTTTCCTCATTCCCGCTAAGAAGCAGAGTGCCTTACAGATATCTCCATAAGAAAGAGGGAGAAAATGTGCAGGTTCTGAGGAACAGAACTGAGGAGAGATAATCAGATACGTTTCTCTGCACCAAACACAAAACTTCTGAGGTTTAAGGTCCAATTTGTGTGCTGATTTGTAGTTTCACTACAAATCCCCCTAAACACCAGTGTAATTTAAGCAAAAGTAACTGAAATGGATTAAAAATGTTTTTTGATTCCTTATTTACCATGTTCACTGTCACTCTGTATTTGAGATCCTAAAGTAAGGATTAGTGAGCAACAACATGATTCCTCATGCTGCACTTTCCCTTGTAGCATTATTACTGCAGTAATTCCAGTTAGTTAAAGTGAAACTCTGTGTTTAATATTCATCTTTCTACTCTATTACAATCCCATGTACCCAAGTACATCCATGGCCACTTTGTAGCCTTTTATCCAATACTTTATTGATAGATAAACTAGCCATAGCACAGCGGGTAGGGTGTTTGCCTTGCATGAGACCAACTAGGCAGACCCGAGTTCGATTCCTCCGCCCCTCTCAGAGAGCCTGGCAAGTTACCGAGAGTATCTCTCCCGCACAGCAAAGCCTGGAAAGTTACCCAGTGATGTATTCAATGTGCCAAACACAGTAACAACAAGTCTCACAATGGAGGTGCTACTGGGCCTGCTGGAGCAAATAGATGAACAATGGGAGGACAGTGCTACAGTGCAGATAAATGTAGCATTTCCTTCAGAGATTTAGAACTTAGAATGGAGAAGATGAAAGAAATATACACAAAACTGCAATATACAATGTAAGTATTCCAAAAATAAAATGCAGAAAACTCTTTGTGGTGTCAGATGACCTTCAGGTGCAACTGCTGCTCTTCCAGCCTCCATCCAATTAGGACTAGTTCCAGAGATAGTTATCACATATTATTTATTACATAGAATCCATTTAACTAATGATGACTAGATACTTAAAGCAAATAAAAATTATCATTTTGCTTCAGCATTCAGACGAGGTGTTTTTTTAAAAAAACACAATTGCTACTGAATGTGACTATGACAAGGATGGTTAGGGTAGAATTTTAATATGCCACAGATTAGATGGAAATATGAAGATATGATACACAGATAGTGATTTATAATAGAATGAGATTGCATTCTTATTATGAAAAAGAAGAACAGAAACTAAAAAAAATACCCTCATCTTAAATGAAAAGATGTTTGCATGCCTCTTTCTTTTTTATTTTGTTTTTGATTTTTGTTTGGTTTTAGGGTGACACACACAGCGTCACTCAGGATTAACTCCTGACTCTGCTCTCACCAGGAATTACACCTGGTGGTGCTCAGGAGCCCATCTGGGGTACCAGAAGCTTGCTTGCCTCTTATCTTTGACTTCTGGCTTCCCTTATTAGGCATCAGAGTTCAGAGAAATTAAGTTTTTTTCTAGCTGAAATGCAGGAGTTTTCTTAGGATGACAGTGGAACTCGGCCTTGAAGGCAAAGGACTGGAGGGGGAGAGGGAGGGCACTTTGTAAAGAGTCAACATCACCAGTTGTTACAGGGCAGGAAGACTTACAGGTCATGTTCACAGTCCTCCCGTTGTTCATCAATTTTCTCGAGCGGGCCCAGTAACGTCTCCATTGTGACACTTGTTACTGTGTTTGGCATATTGAATATATCACAAGGAGCTTGTCAGGCTTTGCCGTGAGGGCGAAATACTCTTGGCAGCTTGCAGGGATCTCCGAGAGGGGCGGAGGAATCGAACTCGGATCGGCCATGTTGGCTGCGTGCAAGGCAAACGCCATACCGCTGTGCTATCGCTCCAGCCCAGACTTGCAGGATATTTCAAAAATACAAGTCTTGGGCCAGAGAGATACTACAAGGGTTAAGATACTTGACTTGCTCATGGCAGAATCCAGTTTCATCCCGGGCACTGCATTATGGTCCCCTGGGCACTGCCTGGAGTAAGCCCAGAGCACAAGTTGTTTTTGTGGCACAAAAACAATATCAACAAACAACTCTTCTCTTTTGGCTAAAGCACAAGTTTCAAAGACTTAAAAACAAAAAAAGATGGAAAAGTTAGGATTAGATGAAAGAGAACATGGCAAAGCAAGCTGACAGGTTCAGATTTCATGGGTCATAAAGTCTAACTTGTCTCAAATAAAGTGCTCAGTTAGGTGACTGGTGGGGGTGGGGCACATGTGTGATTCCCTTAGCAACATTACTTTGCTTTATAAATTATTGAGCTTCATGAAGACCAATCACCTCAGTTCATGCCCTTCATGCCAACTGAATATGAGAATAGAAACAAATTGTCTACGGTTGCCTTTTCAGCAGATCTGAGTGTTGGGGTAAAATCCCAAATAATAATGGTGGGTCTGGGGCCAAAATATTGAATGAAATCAAAGTAGAGAGAGAGAGTAATGTGGAATTCATTTGCCCCACAGGGAGGGGGAGGGTGTGGGATGTGGGGTATACCGGGGTTTTTGGTGGTGGAAAATGGGCACTGGTGAAGGGACAGGTGTTTTATTATTGTATGACTGAGACTTAAACCTAAAAGCTTTGTAGCTGCTCTCACAGTGATTCATTAAATGAATTTATAAAAAAATAAAAATAAAAGAATATGAGAGCTGTTCATTGGTGTGTAAAATCAATCCAATGTGTGCCTCTGAGATATCCTTTATCCTGAATTTTCCTCATGGCAAACAAAATGTATGGACTAGAGGACTTTGGCCCAGTTCAGGTCTGATTCTACTATTAATTTTTACTCACAGAAATAAGTGTTTGGGAATTGATGACTTAGGATTTGGACTAAGTATATTGTTATTTTTTTTCTTTTGGTTTCTGGATCATACCCAGCTGTACCCAGGGCTTATTTCTTGCTCTGCCCTCAGAAATAGGTGCAGGTGGGGGCCAGAGAGATAGTACAGTGGATAGGGCACTTGCCCAACCTGGGTTCAGTCCCATATGGTCCTCTAACCCTGCCAGAAATAATTTCTGAATGCAGTGCCTAGAGTAACTCCTGAGCACTGCTGAGTGTGCCCCTCCTACCTTACTACCCCTCTCCACCACCACCACCCCCCAAAAATGTTCAGGTACAGAAAGATAATTCAGCAGGTAGGGTGTAGCCTTGCACTTAAAAGACCCTGTTCAATCCCCAGCACACAACTGACCCTGTTTGATCACCAGGAGTGACCCCTGAGCAGGTTAAGACCCCTGGTTCTTAACCAGGAGTAAGCCTGAACACCATCAGTTATGGTCCAAAACACATAAACAAAGAAACAGAAGCCAAACAAAATGTCCCAAACCAAACAAAGCCTAAGTGTAGTTATTGCCCTTTAAGGGTTCTGTGATCAGTGTAAAAACAATATTTGCAATATTGGTTTTATCCCAGTCCATGTAGCTTAATGCCACATTCTCCTTTGAAATTCATGCTGGGAGAGGACAAATGCAAGACAGTACAGGGGTCAGGACTCTGCTTTGGAGTGGAGCAGTTTGGCCAGGGCATGGCAGCTGAACCTCTGAGTTCTGCTTTACTTTTGATTATTTGAGAAGGTGTTTCTTTTAGCCACTCACATCAAGTTGGTAAGCACCAGGCATACTCTTTCTGCTGTAGACAAAGTCACTTTCTTTAAATCCATATCAATGGATAAATCACTTGGCTTTGGTGGAGGGAAATTGCTACCTAATTTTTTTTTTAAAGACTAACTTTATACTTATTCATCACATAGTACCAGGCTAATAAGTTACTCTGTTTTC